CTGCAGATTGGCATTTGGGTTTGTCATTTTGCTTCTGTGAATTGTGCTGCTATAAATATTTTTGTACATGTCTCCTGTTGTGCACATGTAAGTTTCTCTTGGTATATACCTAGAAGTAGAATGACTATTTTAATACAGAAATGTGCGACTATAGGAAGAAATATCAAAATGTTTTTGTAAGTAGATGCTCCAATTTAGATTGCCACTGCCAGTTTACACTTGGCAGTGTATAAGAGTTTCAATGTATAAGAGCCACATACTTCACAGCTTGTCTTTGTCAGACTTTATTAACTTTTGCCCATCAGTTGGTTCTGAAATGGTACTTCTGTGTAGTCGTGGTTTTTACATCTCCCTGATCACTGATGATATTGACAGGCTGTTCATGTGCTTATTGGCCACATGTGTTTCTTCCGTGAAATTCCTGTTTATGTTATTTTTCTATTGGGTTAATTGTGCTTTTCTTTTTTGATTTGTAGGAGTTGCATATATATTCTTGATATTGCTGCTTCAAGTTGGGAACTTATTTTTCTCTTTCTTTTAGATGTCTTTTGATGAATATAATTTTATATTTTAGAGTCTGTGCATTTCATATCTTGTTTAAAGATATATTTAAATTTTTATTTTTGACGTGTATGTCCTTAATTCAGCAATAGTTAGGTTTTGGTATATGGTGTGAGGTAGGCGTTCAATTTTATCATTTCCCATGTGAATTACCATTCTTTTCTAGCCACATTTATTGAACAGCCCTTGTTTTTCCTACTGATCTGACATGCCACCTCTGCCCTGTACTAAAGTTCCATACCTGTGTGTGGGTTTTCTGGACTCTTTATTCTGCTGCATTGACCAATTTGTCTATCTTTACCAATACCACACTGTCTAAATTCCTTTTGCTTCTTCATAAAGTCTGATATCTCATAGATCATGTCTCTCCTCCTTGCTCTTTTTCAGAAATGTCTTTGCTATTCTTGGCCCTATTGTCTTCATGTAAATTTCAGAATCATCAAGTTGTATGGAAAATTCTGTTGGAATTTTGACTAGAATTACATTGAATGTATAGATCAATTTTGGGAGAATTGATTATCTTCATGATATTAAGTCACAAATGTAGTATGTATCTCTGCTTATTTAGATCTTCTTTAATGTCTTTTTAATAAGTTGCACAATTTTCTCTGTAGAGGTCTTATGCATCTTTTGTTCAATTTAGTCATAGTTACTTGATATCTGTTACTGTTGTAAATTGTCCTCTTCAATTACATTTTCTAGGTGTTTCCTGCTGGTGTAAAGAAATGCAATTCACTTTTATACATAAATACTAAATGTAGCCATCCTGATGAGCTATTCTATTATCTCCAGTAACTTGTTTGTAGTTTTTTTTTTTTTTTTCTTTTGGGAGGGTTGTCCTTATCTACAAATAATAACAGTTTTATTTCTTCCTTGCTAATCCTTATGCCTCCAATTTATTTTTCTTATCTTAATGTCTGGCTAGGACCTCCAATAAAATCATTTGTAATTTCAAAGGAAATGCTTTTTACATTTCCCCATTTACAATGATGTTTACTCTGGTAGGTTTTTTGTTTTTGTTTTTTGATATCCTTTTTCAGGTACAGCAGTTGTATTATTAATTTACTAAGTGTCTTTATTTATGAAAGGGTCTTAAATTTTGTCAGATGGCTTTTTTTGCAACTGTCCAGATGATTATTTCCCTTTCTTTTACGAGGTTAATGTGGTCAATTATTTTATATGAATTTTTGTAACATTAAATTATCCTTTTATACCAGGATAATTGCATCCTTGCGTAAGAGAAAAGTCCAGTTGGTCATGATGTATTGTTTCGTTATGCATTGTTGGATTTAATTTATTAGTATTTTGTTTGAATTAGGCTGTGAAACCATCTGGGCCCGGTATTTTCTAAGAATATTTTTAACCACTGCTTCAATTTCTTTAATAGTTAAAGGGCTATTCAGGCTTTTTTAATTTCTTTTTTAATTTGTTCTGGTAAGATATATATATTTTATATATATATATTTTGATTTCTTCATTTCAGCTTAAGTTTTCAAAATTATTTCATATGGTTGTTATTAGTATTCCAGAATTCTCTTTTTAATCTTATTTTTAGTGATATTCTTGACTCCTAGATTTTAGCTTGCATATTTGTGCAGTAGTGATTTTATGTAGTCCATTAATTTGCCACTCTTTATTTCATGTCTGCATAAGGTTATCAGCTCAGCTGATCTTGTTTCTAGTTTCAGCTACATTCAATCTTCCCTTTAAATTGTCTTAAGCTTCATCTTTCTGAAACATTTTTATTATATTATTTTCCTATTAGAAATTTTACATTCTTAAGGTAAACTCCTGACTCCTCAAGGTCATTGATTTTCAAGGTATTGAATGATTCCATGTTATGACTATAATTATACCACTACAAACCAACATGCTTATTATTTTTTGAACCTAACATTTTAATTCGTTCCTTTTTTCATACCTTTCTTGCTTCCTAGAATGAATATCCTTCTTTGGTATCTAGGTCCTACCAAGCTTTCAAAGCCCTGTTGACATTTCACATTCATAGAGAAACCTTCTCTGATACTCTAGTCTAAGATGACCTGTTCCTTCACTATTTTGTCTTTATGTTGTTCGTCTCTTTTTCCGGTATGTATTCTTCATGGGCAGGGCATTTATTGTATTTATTTACTTATTTAATGTCTTCCCTTTAGTAGCCCACAGTTTAGTTCTCAACCTTTTTTCTTTGACTTTTAATAAACGTTAAAATTTTATTATTACATCTTGTTATAGCTATGACTCAATAAAGACAGACCATAATTTATATATGCAGTATCTTCAACAATTTTAATATTATTCCTTATCTGCCATTCTTTTGTATAAGCTATGAAAAGAAGTTATTCTTTAGTCCAGGGGTTGCAAAGTGAAATGCTTGTAGGATCAGGCTGGCAACACGAATATGTCAGTCGGGTTATGAAGTAGGAAGTGGGAAGTTAGAAGTAGAGAGTTGAAGAGCCCTGATGAACTAAAGAGTATATGCCCTCTACAAGGATTTCAGACTGAATTCTTAAAGTTCTGGGCCAGCTCTACTTGTGACTCCTGCTCTAGCTTCTTTTCTGTTGTTGAATTCCACTACTTTATTGTAAAATGGTAAATAAATAAGCTAAAACTTAAACAAAATTGGAGACTCCACAAATAACTTACAGTGCAAAGAATTTTTTGTAACATAAGCTAATGTTAAAATTCTCCCAAATAGGCGATTTTTATATGAGTTTCATCCCATCAGCAGCCATGTCTCTCTTGTTTACTGGTTCAGCATCTGGCACAATGCCTGGCACATTGTACACTTTAAATATTTGAATGAATGAATGGCTGACTGTACACTTTTAAAGTTATTTTTGGTAATTCTGTACATACTTAGCGTAGCCACTTGGTGGCACTAAATTCATTTTAAAGCCTTAAGAGGTATTTTTATATCTGTACGCATAGCAACTACTATTTTTCCACACACAAAATAGTGAGCTGTAATATATCATGGGTTGTATAAATCATTATTGATACCAAAAGAGAAGTATCAATAACCATGGGAGTTTTTTTCGAAATCTTTGAAAAAATTTCCTGAAGTGATGGATTACAGATTTGATAATATTTTCTGCTGTAGCCTCAACACCTAGCCCGGCGTTGCACACGTATCTTCACTTGTGTTGTGATTTTGAAAGAATATGTGAATATGGATACATTTTAACTTCTTCCAGCCTTAGTCCTACCTCCTTTAGCCCCAGGTAATTTCACTGCACGTAAGTTTAGCCCAAGATAAGGAAGCAATAAGTATTATTTAAATTTTAGTCAATTACCTTTATGAAGTCTCCTTTAAAAAGTTTTCACTCAGATTTACTAAAGAACTGTGGTTTAGATCAGAATACATATGAATAGGAATTAGCAACAATATTAATTGTAGTCTAGTTTCCTACCACTTTTTCCTAATTTATCAATTAAAAGACAGTTTTGCATATAAATGCTTTAAGAGGAGTTACAGAACTGTGGTGGTATCATTATATTTGAGAACCGGGGGCAAGAGTATTCTTTAGTGGAGAATGTAGTCTCATCAAGGAGTCTCTCAAACATACTACGTTAAAAGTTTAAGAACTGGTGAGTATTCATAATATCTCAGAATTCTTGGCATTATAAATAGTAGAGGGCTATGAAAATTATAAAGGGAGGATAATTCAAGTTTTTTCTTCTGAATCAGGGAGGATAAAAATAGATAATACACTAAAATGTAAAATCATAAGCTAATAGCGTTATAGGAAAGATTCTAACTAGAAATGGTATTTAATTATAGTAATAAAATATAGTAGTAGGACTAAGCTGCATTAAAAAAATCATTTATCAGATTTGGTTCAGCTCTACAGTTAATCTTGCTGGCATTCACCAGAATGTAAGCTCCAAATAATTTATAGAATGAACAGTTAACAGCTAGATGACTGCACTGTGAAGACTATATGTTACAGAGTGAAAAAATGTGTGGACAATATGTACCCTTTTTAGGAAGTCAGATGAGGGTAGAAACTAATATGAATTGTTGGAGAATTTCTCTAAAATTTATGAGTTGGAGCTTGTGCTGGGTACTGAGATATGAGTTCAATCTGGATAGGTAAGAGTGAATTTAGGGGAAGTGACTAGGAGGTGAGGACAAGTTCTTTTTGCTTAACCATCTGTGTTTCAGATTAAGAAAAATTGGCCATGTTACTCTAACTGGGTTGGTTTTCACTCATGAGTTCATTGAATTTATTTGGTTTTCTAGAATCTTCAACTCCAGAATTAAAGCAGATTACTGGAAACAGAATACAAATTAAACATGTTTACTATATTTATGCTAAGATTATATATAATAAAATTTGAAAACTCTTACTCTAGTTTATATTTTTGAGGTCACTGTCACTAGTTAAAAACTGTATTTTAAAACAAATTGCTAATGTCTTTCATTTTGTATTTTACAGGTAATTAATAATGCTTGTGCTACTCAAGCCATTGTAAGTGTGTTATTAAACTGTACCCATCAAGATGTCCACTTAGGAGAGACATTATCAGAGTTTAAAGAATTTTCACAAAGTTTTGATGCAGCTGTGAGTACTATCTTCTTACTCCTAAAATGCCGTATTTGTGATGGTTCTTATTTTAATGTTCTTCTTTTTCAAATTATTGTAGATGAAGGGTTTGGCACTGAGCAATTCAGATGTGATTCGACAAGTTCACAACAGTTTTGCCAGGTAAAGAGACTTTACATTAAATAAATACTGTTTGAGGGCAGTGGTGGCGCAGTGGCAGAATTGTCCCCTTCCATGCGGGAGACTCGGGTTTGATTACTGGCCAGAGCACGTGAAGTGCAGCCACCACCCATCTGTCAGTGGAGGCTTGCGTGTTGTTAAGACACTGAACATGTTTCAGTGGAGCTTCCAGAATAATACAGAGTAGGAAGAAAGGGCTAGTGATCTACTTTCAAATATCAGAAGTGAAAACCCTGTGGATCACAATGGCCTGATCCATTTGTGCATGGGGTTGCCATGAGTCGAGAGCCGAGTTGACAGCAGTAACCAATACTGTTTATTTTCTTTGCTTCTCTGTTTGTCACTATTTTTTTTTTCCACTGTAGACAGCAGATGTTTGAATTTGATGCAAAGACGTCAGCAAAAGAAGAAGATGCTTTTCATTTTGTCAGTTATGTTCCTGTTAATGGTAGGCTGTATGAATTAGATGGATTAAGAGAAGGACCAATTGATTTAGGTAATCTCATTCCTCTGTGCCACTCATGAAATAAATATAATATGTAACAAAATTTATAGGATGTCCTGGTATTTCACTTTTGACAAGTAAGAAGAGTTTGGGTGTTCCCCTTCATTTTAGTCATAGTGCTGGTTAACTTTTGGAGGAAAAAGTGACTTATAAGGTAGTATATATCACAGAGGCCCTAAGCTCTTCAATACTGTATGTAATGAAATAACTTATAGGAAGTCATGTTGATTACTATAGTTAAACTGGGACCTTTAATTTTTTTTCTAAGAGAAAATATTTTTTTAACCTATAGATTACATAACATTTGTATTTTTTTCTAGTTAACTTTTAAAAACTACTCTTTTTTAATGAACTTAAAAATATTCTTGTGATTTTTAAGCTATTGGTAACAGATATCAAGCATTTCTTATCATCTTGTATTGAAATTTTTTTTTTTGGAATTGGATTGTTCAGGATCACTTTAATTGAGTGCTTAACAATCTAATTGTCTACAAAAATATTTTTCTTCAAAGTTTCTATTTAGAGAGTGTGTTCATGCGCCAAAGGGTAGATTTATTTTTATCTACCCTGTCTCTAACCTTGAGCAAAAATAAAAATAGTAAATGCTTATCAAGGTTGGGGCTACAGTCTGTGGTTCTGAAATTGTGCTGAAATAATAGGCCCACAGAAGAATTTTAACTCTTTATTTTGACCTCATTAAGATTTCTTATTTTTAAATTAGGTTTGTTTTTAAGTTTTATAAAATTTGTTTTAATTGAGTCTAATGTTGTGTACGCTGTTCATGAAACTTTATACTTCTAGATTTAAAAAAAATTAGCATAGGTTCATTTTGTTTGTACTTTTTGACTGTGCCCCTTATATTAAGTCAATATAGTTTATCTAATGGAGCCCTGGTGGCGCAGTGTTTAAGTGTTTGCCTGCTAACCAAAAGGTCAGCAGTTCGAATCTACCAGCCACTTCTTGGAAACCCTATGGGACAGTTCTACTCTGTCCTGTAAGGTTGCTATGAGTTGGAATCAACGCGACGGCAGTGGGCTTGGTGGGTTTTTTTTTTTTTTTTTAATGCAAATATACATGTTGTCTCTAAAAAAAATATTTATTTTTCTATGTCTGTTAAAGAAAACTGGAACCCTGGTGGTGCAGTGGTTAAGAGCTATGGCTGCCAACAAAAAGGTTGGCAGTTTGAATCCACCAGCTGCTTCTTGGAAACCATGTGGGGCAGTTCTACTCTGTTCTATAGGGTTGATGTGAATTGGAATTGACTTGACAGCAATGGGTTTGGTTTTTTTTGTTGTTGTTGTTTAAAAGAAAACTAGAGGAACGTTCTTTCAATCCTGTAGAAGCTGGTTTTCCCCAGTATGGTGGTTGATTTGATCTCTGTGTTTTCTCTGTTGGCTTCTATCTGGTCAGCCATTTTCTTTTCATTAGAAACATCATATATAAAGAAATTAAAGATAAAAGAGAGCAGCCAGTTTTGCTCTGTAGTTGGTGGCTGTGCTAAAATTTTTGGTAAAATAAAAAGGAAGGGAGGAAGTTAAAACACTGGGTAAAATTAGTTTTGCATTACACATGGACTTCAGTTTTTTATAATTACGAAGGTGGGAATCAGACAGCTATGGGTTGAGTCCTTATTTTGCTACTAACATGTGGGTTGGCTTTTCTTAGCCCTCAGTTTCATCATTTGTAAAATGAGGGTAGTTATTATCTTACAAGTTTGTAAGTTTAAATGAGATAACTCACTAATTCATTACTTTCTCAGACATTTGTTCAGCATCTACTAAGTGACGTAATAATGTGGCAGTGCAAATTATGATCATATTCTTGCCCTTCACCATTACCAAGAAAATTAGAATTGAAGCTGAACATAGTTAAAAAAGCTAAAAAGATTTTTCCTGTTCTGCATTTGCTCAAGTGTTTGTAAAAATATATTTTGAGCCAAACTATTGATAATTTCAATGTTGATTTTTCTTATTTTTATTTACTTGTTTTTAAATTTCTTTCTAGGAGCATGCAATCAAGACGACTGGATCAGCGCAGTGAGGCCAGTTATAGAAAAAAGGATACAAAAGTAAATGCTTAGCTAACCTCGTTGGCATAACATTCTGGCTTTTAAGCATTTTTAATACTTTTATTCTTCTTTAAGCAATGCTTCTTGACTCATTTTCATTGGATTAATGTGTTTAGGAATAATACATTTCTATCTCAGAAAATCTCTAAATTTTAGTAATATGATATCTTTAGAGACATTAAGCATGTAGATCTCCTTTATATTAGATATTTGTACAAATATTTTGTAGAGGTAATTTGTACAGGTATTTTGTAGAGTTCTTTTTAGCATCTGTTTTTATTAAACTTTTTATTTTGTGAGAGTTATATATTTACATGTAGTTATAAGAATACAGAGCGATCCTGTGTTCCCTGTGCCCAGTTTTCTGCAGTGGTAACATCTTGCAAAACTGTAGAACAATATCACAACCAGGATGCTGTTAGTGATACGGCATCAAGATACAGAGACGTTCGTTCCATCACCAAAACGATTCTTCATGTTGCCTTTTCATAGCCGTATTCACTTCCTTATTCTTGCTGCCCCCCCCATCCTTAATCCCTCCCTGACAATGACTAATCTGTTTTCTAGTTCTATAATTTTTGTCAAAGAACGTTATATAAATGGGATCATACACTATATAACCTTTTGGGATTGGCTTTTTTGCACTCAGCCTAATTCTCTGGAGATTCATCCAGATTGTTTATGTGTATCCACAATTCATTCTTTTTATTGATGGGTAGTATTCCATGGTGTAGATGTACCACAGTTTGTTCAACTGATATCTGTAACCTGTTGAAAGATATCTGGGTAGTTTCCACTTTTTGGTTCTTATACATAAAGGTGCTATAAACCTTGGCGTACAGATTTTCATGTGAATATGAGTTTTTATTTCTCTGGGATAAATGCCCAGAAGTGCTATTGCAGGGTCATATGGTAGATGCATGTTTAGTTTTTAAAAAAATGCCAAGCTTTTCCAGAGTGGTAGTACCGCTTTACATTCCCACCAGCAATGTATGATTGAGCCGGTTTTTCTGCATTCTTGCTGGCTGGCATCTGGTGTTGTCACTATTTCTTATTTAGTCATTCTGATAAGTGTGTAGTAATATTTCATTATGGTTTTAATTTGCATCTCCCTAATGACTAGCTAAGGATATTGAACATCTTTTATGTCTTTTGCCCATTTTCTGATTAGATTTTTTTTTTTTTTAACTGTTGAGCTTGAACATCTTTATATATTCTAGATACTAGTCCTTCATTGGACTAATGGACTGCAAATATTCTCCCTCTGTCTGTAGCCTATGGCCTTTTCCTCCCAACATGATCTGCAGTATAACATTAATAGAGCAAAAGTTCTTAATCCTGACATGGTTCAGTTTATCAGTTTTTCCCTCTATCAGTCGTGTTTTTGTTGTCAAGTCTAAGATTTCTTTGCCTAGCCCTAGATCCTGAAGATTTTCTTTTATGTTCTTTTCTAAGAGATTTATAGTGTAGCATTTTACATTTAAGTTTGTGATCCATTTTGGGTTAGTTTTTGTACAAGGTATGAAGTTTAAGTCAAGGTTCATTATTTTGCTTATGCACATCTAATTATCCTAGCACCATTTGTTGAAAGGACTGTTTTTCCTCCATTGAATTGCTCTTACACCCAGTAAAAAGTCAATCAGGCATATTTGTGTGTGTGTATTTCTGGATTCATAATTCTGTTCCATAGATCTGTGTCTGTCCCTTTGCCAGTACTACACAGTCTTAATTACTGTCGCTTTAAGTCCTAAAATCAGATTGTCTTAGTCATCTAGTGCTGCTACAACAGAATTACCACAGGTGGATGGCTTTAACAAAGAGGAGTTTATTCTCTCACAGTCCAGTAGGCTAGAAGTCTGATTTCAGGGCACCAGCTCCAGGGGAAGGCTTTCTCCCTCTGTCGGCTCTGGAGGAATGTCCTTGTCATCAGTCTTCCCTCGGTCTGGGAGCATCTCAGCACGGGGACTTCAGGTCCAAAGGACACGCTGTGCTCCTGGCACTGCTTTCTTGGTGGTATGAGGTCCCCATGTCTCTGTGCTCGCTTCTCTCTTTCATATCTCAAAAGAGATAGGCTTAAGATACTATCTGATCTTGTAGATCTCATCAATATAACTGCCACTAATCCATCTCATTACATCATAGTGTTAGGATATACAACACATTGGGGAATCACATCAGATGACCAAAAATGGTAGACAGTCATACGATACTGGGAATCATGACCTAGCCAAGTTGACACATATTTTTGAATATCTGTCAGTTCAATTCAATCCATGACGCAGATAGACTGATTCTTCCCACGTTATTCTTCTTTTTTTGCCGAAATTGTTTTTAGCTATTCTAGTTTCTCTGTCTTTCCATATAAATTTTAGTGTAAATTTGTTCATCTACAACAAATCTTACTGGAGTTTTGATAGAAATCAGCTTAAACCTTTATGTCAGTTTGGGGAGAATTGACTTCTTTACTATGTGGAATCTTCCAATCCATGAACACAGTATGTCTCTTTATTTACTTACGATATTCTTTGATTTCTTTCATTAGCATTTTATAGTTTTCAGCATACAAGTCCTATACATGTTTTGTCAGATTTACAAGCAAGCACTTTGTATTTTTTTGAGTAACACAAATGGTATTATATTTTCAATTTCAGTTTTCATTATTGCTAGTGTATAGAGGTACAATTAATTTTCTTTCTTTTTTTCTTTTTCATCTTTATCTTGCATCCCTCAGCCTTGCCAAACTCATCCACCAGCCTTAGGAGTTTTTTTTGTAGATTCCTTGGCATCTTCTACATAGACAATCATGTCATTTGCAAATAGGGGCAGTTTTGGATTTATTTCTCCTCTATGTTATATCAGTGTTTGCCTCACATAGTTTGCAGCTCTGTTTGTTGTTGTTGTTGTCAGGTGCCATTGAGTCGGTTCTGACTCATAGCAACCCTGTGTACAATGGAACGAAACACGGCCTGCACCTGTGCCATCCTCACAGTCATTGTGCTGGAGCCCATTGTTGCAGCCACTTTGCAAACAACCTGTCCGTTTGATGCATACATGTTTATGATGGCTATGTCTTCTTAGTGGAATGATCCTTTTATCGGGTAATGTTATGTCTCTGGACATGTTCTTTGCTCCAAATTTTAATTTATCTGATACTCCTGCTTTCTTTTGATTAATGTATGCATGATACATCTTTTTTCATCCTTTTACTTTTAATCTACCTATACATTATATTTGAAGTGAGTTTCTTGTAGGCAGAAGAGGTTGGGTCATGTTTTTTCATTCACTCTGCCAATCTCTGTCTCTTTTGGTATATTTAGACCATTTACATTTGTGTATGTGTATATTCATATATATATAATGTATATATAAAATTACATGTAAAATTAAATGTGTGATTATTTCTGTGTTATAGCTTTTAAGTCTGCTATTTAATTTTTTTCTCTTTGTTCTCTCTTATTTTTGTTTCTTTGCTTTGTTTTGCCTTCCTGTGGGTCACTTGAACATTTTTTAGAATTCCCTTTTGATTTATCTGTAGTGTTTTTGAGTGTATTTCTTGAATATATTTCTTATATAGTTTTTTTAGTGGCTTCACTAACTTATCACAGCTTACTGCTATCAACATTTTACCAGTTTGAGTGAAGTGTAGAAATCTTACCTCCCTTTACATACTTTTACCTGTCCCCATTTATAATTGCCTTAAATAATTATTTTGCATACATTTAGGACCACATCAGACAGTGTTATATATATGTTTTTTACTTCAACCATTAAACGTAATTTAGAAAACTCAAAGGGAGAAGGAAAATGTATTTACCATATATTTAGTCTTTTCATTGTTTTTTTTCCTTCCTGATGTTCTAGAATTCCTTCTTTTATTATTTCTTTTCTTTTAGAGAACTTCCTTCAGCTGTTCTTTTAGGATAGGTCTTCTGGTGACAGATTCTCTTAGTTTTCCTTCATCTGAGAATGTCTTGATTTCCGTTTCACTTCTGAAGGATATTGTCACTGGGTATAATATTCTGGGTCGACAGTCTTTTCTTTTAGCACTTCCACAATGTTGTGCCACTTCCTTCTTGCCTCCACAGTTTCTGATGAGAAATCTACTGTCATTCAAATTGTGTTTCCCGTATAGGTATGCTGATGTTTCCCTCTTGTTGCTCTGATAGTTTCTTCTGTCTTTAGTTTTCAGAAGTTTATGATGTGTCATGGTGTGGATTTCTTTGGTTTTATCCTGTTTGGGGTTTGCTCATTTCTTCAATCTGTATGTTCACGTTTTTAAATTTGGGAAGTTTTAGCTACTATTTGAGTATTCTTTCAACTTCACCCTCTTTCTCCTCTCTTTCCAAGACTACAGCGATTAAATGTTAGAGCTTTTGTTTTTGTTCCACAGGTCCCTGAGGCTCTGCTATTTTTTTTCTCCAGTCTATTTTCTCTCTTTCTGTTCAGATTGAGTCGTTTCTACTGTTTTATCTTGCAGTTCAGTGCTCTTTTCTCTCTCCATTCTGCTGTTGAACCTATAATAGAATTTTTTATTTTGTTTATTGTATATTTTTCTTTCAAAGTTTCCGTTTGGTTTTTCTTTATATCTTCTATTTCTATTCTATTTTTTTCATTTGTTTCAAGTGTGTTCATAATTGCTCATAGAAGCATTTTTGTGATGGTTTTCTTAAAATCTTTGTCACAATTCTAATTCTGCCATCTCAGTGTTTGCATCTATTGAGTATCATTTTCATTCAAATTGAGAGTTTCATGATTTTTAATATGACAAGTGATTATTGATTAAAATCTGGTCATTTTATGTATTATGTTATGATACTTTGGATCTTATCTAAAACTTTTGGTGTAGCTAATTTCCACTGATACCACTCCAGCAGGGGAAAACGGGGTGCTGCCCTGTTATTGCCAGGTGAAAGTAGAGTTCAGGCCCCCTACTCAGTCTCCATAGCCATCTGAGATGGTGTCTTAGGCTGGGTTGTCCAGAGAAGCAAAACTAGTAAAGTGTATAAATATATAAATAGAGAGAGATTATATCAAGGAAACAGCTCATGCTATTGTAGAGGCTAGAACGTCCCAAGTCTGTGGATCAGAGTAGAAGCCTCTCCCAAATCACACAGCTGCAGAAGCTGGCAGGCCCAAGATCGGAAGGTCAGAGAACAGGCCTCCCACTCACAGGCTGTGCAGATCGACGAATCCCAGGTTCAGCAGATAAGCTGACAGCTCAAGTCCCAAGAACAGGAGATGAGACAACAGGAAGCAGCCACAGGATCCAGCGAGAGCAAAAAGCCAGAATGTCTGCTTATATACAGATACGGGCCACACCCCCAAGGAGACTCCCTTTCATCTGATTGGCTACTCGCAGTATATTCAATCATGGGAGTGATTACATTAAAACATGGAGAATCGTGGCCCAGCCAAGTTGATACACAATCTTAACCATCACAGATGGGGAGGGGCTCTTTATTGCTGCTGTGCAGGGATGGAAGTTCTGGCTTCCCACTAGGCCTCCACTGGTACCTCCCTAGCTGAGACGGGTAGGAATGTCTCCTTACTGCTCTCCACGTGGCTTCCACTGACATGCAGTGGGGGAGACCTTGTTCTTGCTGGATGATAGTGACAGTTTTGGCTTCCCACTTGGTCTCTTCTGATAACACAAGGGGGTGTTGTTATTACCACCTGGCAGGGATGAAAGTCTCAGCTCCCTACTCAGCCTTCTGTGACACCAGCTAGATGGGCGATTGAGGCACCTCTTTACAGTCTAGCAAGGGTGGAAGTCTAGGCTTCCCACACAGCCTTTGCTGGTGTGGGGCCACATTTTTTTCTGTTGTGTTTGGCAACAGCAGAGCAGTTATTATCTAAAAGTTTTCTGTCTTGTGAGGCTGTCCCTTTCTCTAGTCCTTAGGCTTTTTTTTTTTTTTTTTTTAGCTTGCGCATGTTGGCATTTATGGGTTGCTGGCTTCTTCAGCTCCATGTCTGCGATATGTGAGGCAAAAAGACAATCCAGTCAGTTCACCACTGTGACATTCCTTTGGTCTTGAGCTTCCCAGCTTGTCTGCCTTTCAGTCTTAAATTCATGTATGTGTGTATATATATGTGTGTGTGTGTGTGATGTCCAGGGTTTTTAGTTGTTCTTAGTGGGAAGAATAGGGAAAAAGAAGTCTTACAAGTAGAATTTTTAAAACATTTTTACATACTTCAAAGCATTATAGTTATAGTGGGCCGTAGTCTTCCAGTGAATTGAACTATGTATGAGAAACTTCTGTAGGTGAACTAGTATAGAAATAGCTTACATTTTCTATATATTTTTATCTTGATTAAACGACATGTATATAATGTTATGGGTGATTTTGAAAATGTCAACCTTTACCATAAACAAGCTTATGCTGTGAGATGTTTTCATTGATAACAGAGTAGTGAAAATCAGATAGCATTCAGAAGATTTGCAACAGGTTATAATCACACATCGCAAAAGGCAGTATTAATAAAAGTAGAAATTAATCATGACTTGGATAAAAAGTATAATAAGGAATCAAGATGCCATTATTATTAGTCCAGCAAATGTGGGCTCTTTGTTGCATTGTTTTTTCTGAGATCTTAAGTAAATGATAGTTACCATATTTCTTATAAACACAGAGAAACTGGTAAAAATATTTATTTCAAATGTTTTAAGAAAAATTAACATTATTTTAGAGCATTTAAAAATATTTGTGATTGATGAAATTTATCTAATTTTTTCCTACAGTTGTACTCTATCAAATGTGAAAAGCTTTTTAAAAATGTCAATTTTTATTGTTAGCCAGTTGATATATTTTTGTTTATCCCAGAGAATTATGGAACATCATAATCGATTATCTTAATTGTAAATAGTTTTACAATTCTTTATTACATTGTAAACTTTAAAATGAGTGTTTTTTTTAGGTACAGTGAAGGTGAAATTCGATTTAACCTAATGGCCATTGTGTCTGACAGAAAAATGATATATGAACAGAAGATAGCAGAGTTACAAAGACAACTTGCAGAGGTTTGTGACCATGCTTTTAAGTCAAAAGTTCTAGCTTAGTTATTCTCTCAGGAGAAGTTTTAGTTTTTTTTATTTTTTACTATAGAGTTAATCAAGTGTCCTGAATGGTAGTTTATAGATTTTGGAGGCAGACTGTCTAGATTTAGTTCCTGGCTTTGCCACTTAGTGGATATATGAATTTGGATATATTTGGATATGCCTCAGTTTCTTCATGTAAAATGAGGATAATAGTATTTACCCAAAAGGTTGTTGTGAGGATTAAATGAGGTAATATATTTAAACAACTTTAAACAGTGACTGACACATAGTATGTTAGCAGTTAATAACTATGTTAACTATTTACTATGACTTTGTTATACAATTAAGCAAGTTAGAATGTATTTTTCGAAGAATTTACTGGGTACAGTTAGATTCCCATGTAATTATTTACTAGTCTTTACGATTAAATATCTTCCTGTAGTAAATATGATTAGAGAAAAGAATTAGTAATAGACAAATATCTTTTTTATACACCTTTGATTGTATTTTCTTAAGAGTATACTTAAGCAAATTTGTTTTATAGCTGAGTAGAAGATTACAGCAATATAATATAGTATAGATTTTTTTTAGGTGAAAATTTCATAGGTATTCTGCTCTGACAGGGACGACAGTAGAGGATCCCGAACAGAGCAGGAGAGAAGTGTAGAACAACATTCAAATTCACACACACAAAAAAGACCTGACTTACTGGTCTGACATAGACTGGAGGAACCTCGCGACCATGACCCCCAAATACCTTTTTAACTTAGAACTGAAGTCACTTCTGAAGTTCACCCTTCAGCCAAAGATTAGACAGGTCTGTGAAACAAACAGTAACACATGTGAGGAACATGCTTTGTAGTTCAATCATGTATACAAGACCAAGTGGGCAAACTTGCCCAAAAACAAAGATGAGAAGGCAGGAAGGGACAGGAAAACGGGACGAATGGAAACGGGGAACCTGGGGTGGAGAAGGGGAGAGTGTTGACACATTGTGGGGATTGCAACCAATGTCACAAAACAATTTGTGTACAAATTGTTGAATGAGAAACTAATTTGGTCTTTAAACTTTCATCTAAAGCACGCACAAAAAATTTATGTGTATTGTAAAAAACAGAAATATTGAAGTAAGTATTTAGTGCTTTTATCCTTTAATGTTGGTGTCATTAGGCTGATATTCTGTCACCAATATTAAGAGTAGAAATTGGAACATATACTGTTTATCATTTTAACATACTCCAGACTTAAGCCTCAATCATTAGGGTGTACTGTATATTTTTTTTTCTCCCTAAGGAGGAACCCATGGATACTGATCAGGGTAATAATATGTTAAGTGCTATTCAGTCGGAGGTTGCCAAAAATCAGATGCTTATTGAAGAAGAAGTACAAAAATTAAAAAGATATAAGGTAAGTTATTTAAAAAAATTTATTCATTTAATGTTTTGAAATAGATATGTTTTGACAAAAAGGTATGTTTAATGTCGATCTTCCTCCATCATTTACCATTTTCAGAATAATGAATTGATTCTCTTGACACTCTACGGTAACTAGTGAGATTTCTTTCTTTTCTCTTCAGATTTTTTTTTTTTTTTTAGTATTACTACAAACAAAAATTTAACCTATTTGATTCTTAAGTTCACTGCAGTTATACTTATTGATATTCAAATTTTCCCACCTTTGGCCATTGGGAACCTCTTCAGGTTGTCTTATAAGTCCTTTAAATATGACCCCCATAGTCTTTGATAGCTTCTTTGCTTTCTAATATGACAAGATGTATTAGGCTCATCTTGTACATTTCCTGCCTCAGACTTGGAACCAGCCATTTTTTTCAAGAAGCCTTGCTTCATTTTACTGGAAAATGATATTTAGAGATCACTATCTGGGTGTTTGGAGCCCTGGTGGCACAGTGCTTAAGAGCTAGGCTGCTAACCAAAAGTTTGGCATTTCAAATCCATCAGTCGCTCGTTGGTAACCCTACAGGGCAGTTCTGCTCTGTCCTATAAGGTTGTTATGAGTTAGAATTGACTTGATGGCAGTGGGTTTGGTTTTTGGTTTTTATCCGGGTGCTCTGGGTGCTTGGCGCTGCTGATTGGTTATTGTTTCTAGGCCTTTTCAAAATGAAGAAATTCGTTTTTGTTTTGAAGAGAAAATAAAATGTGAATTCACATTAATATTTCTAGTTCAAATTTAGGATTAAAGGGCTTTATAATGGAAGAAATTAAGTATTTGTGTCTCTTAAGCTGAAAATCTTGGTTTCTAACAACATTAACATAATTATTTGCTTTATGCTGTATATGTATAGCATATGTGTGTGTTGTGTGTGTATTATATGTATGTATAGTATGTGTATGTGTGTGTGGGTGTATTCAGAATAACAATACCAGCAGCATAACAATAATGGTATGATTACAGAAAAGTTTTTTCTTATTTGCATTTTTCTTAGAATATATCCCATTTTGGATGTACAATCAAATTACTACGTTTTAAATTTACTTGAAAAAATTTTCTTGCTGTATGATTATATTACCAATTTGATACACAATTAGGTTCATTTGTTTTACTTTGCTTTCAGATTATTTGGGGTTTATTTTATAATTTTGATTTCGTTTTGTTTAATTATGTCAAATATTTATGGATTTGGAGTCAAGTATAAAATCAAAGTTATCTTTAATAATGTGGTTCTCCTTCACTTGCAATCTGTCTGATAAGCTTTTTTCAGTGCAAGTGAAAAGAGTGGTGAGAATTTTGAATTTTGTGTGGCTTTTTGTACATACTTTTGTATGATGTAGTACTTATGTCATTTGTCATGTGTGTCATGGTACAAAAAGAATTTTTATTCATTTGAAACTGATTTGAAGGCAAGGACTGTTCTTTACTTCTTTATTGCTCACCATGGTGGCATCATAGTGCTTTGCAACATGCTTAACAGTCAATAAATGATTGTTAAATAAAATAAATGGACCTTGGACTGGTATGATTTCTTCAGGTGCCGTGGTGGGAGCAGGCAGGCTCCAGAGCATTTCAGGCAGAGGGAAAGGGAAAGGCCAAGTTCATGGAGACAGGAAAGTAACGGATGAATGTTTCAATGTTTATGTTCCATTTCACATGATATAAAAAAATAACTACCCACCATTTATATATTCCTATGCAGGGCTATTATGTAATAAACTAATTTTTAATATCTGCCTAAAGTAAAACAGAAACTTAAGTTCTCAGAATCTTTGCATGATACACAGTTTGGGAATTCTTTGTTCAAGAAGATATAAAATGACTCGTACTGATAAAAAATGAACATGTGATAAGATTTAATTCATTAGTAACTGAAGGAACCAGTAAGATGTCATAACTAGTTCAAAGGAAAAGTCAAAGAAATACAAATTTATGTGAAGTAAAGGAATGTTGAAACGAATTTACAAAGAGATGGAAGCTGTTTTTCTTTTTTTAGGGAGAAAATGAAGTCAGTTGAACCCCGACCAAACAGAATGTATTTGCGCAATATTCTGCATGTCCCTAGACAAGAATTAATTTTCCATTGCTGTCACTTCTGTATAACTTACAGTGTTGTCAAATAGTTCAACAGCAATGAAAGGCTGAACTCACGTACTTTGGGATGGTGTGCTCTAGATCTATAGTTTTCCACTGAAGCACATATTGTTTCCTATAGTCTACCCTCTTTTGATCAAAAATAATCTCAAAGGTTAATCTTGGTCAGGAAATAAAGCTAGTCTTAATGGGCTGGTTCTGATTATTTGCATAGGTGCAGCAGGAGTATTAATTTTATCATATAAGCCTTCTTGCATTTACTTTCATAAATTAAGTATAAGTAATCTTAGATTGACTTTTAAAAGCCTTTACTGTTTACTAAACAGAGGCTAGGAAGCCAAGTCCAAAAAAACTCTCTCCATGTGCTTGGTTGTATCAGTCTATTCACTATGGGAACTGACTCATTTTTTTGTAATATTATTTTCTTATGAGAATGGAAAATTCTATCCCATTTCTATCTTGAATTATATGTAAAAATTACAAATTTCAAAACATTAGCAGAAATGTATACTTACCATGGTTTGATGTTTTATTTTTAGATTGAAAATATCAGAAGGAAGCATAATTATCTGCCTTTCATTATGGAATTGTTAAAGACTTTAGCAGAACACCAGCAATTAATACCACTTGTAGAAAAGGTAAGTATTTTCTTAGTGAATACTTAAATTAGGTTAAGATTCTCCAAAAACATGAAGTAATTTTTTGGCATGAGTAGGAGTAAAAGTCTTTTAAGCTTATTTATTTTTTTGCTTTTGCCTGTTGTTTTATATTCTAGATAAGGCTTAGTTCAATCTAAATATTGTAAAATAAAAATAAAGAATTGTTCCAGTACTTTAGTTTTCCATAATCCTTAGTGTTAGAAACTCGGGTTATGTTGTGGCATAGCGGTTTGAACCCACCAGTCGCCTCATGGGAGAAAAGTGGCAGTCTGCTTCCGTAAAGATTTACAGCTTTGGAAACTGCATGGGGCAGTGCTACTCTGTCCTATAGGTCTCTAAGAGTTGGAGTCGACTCGATGGCAGTGGATTTGGTTTTTTGGTTTTGGTTGTATTAAAATAAAATTTAAAATACTGTCTTTAAGCTGAAAACAGATTTTAATGTTAATTGAAATAGCAGAAATTTTCCTTTTTTAATTCAGCAAAAATATGAACTGAAAATCATAAAATTTAGAACTAGAATGGACATTGAGGGGAAAAAAGAAAAAAAACAAAATACAAACAGAAAACATAGGCTGGAGTAAGAAATGGATTTTCTTATTCCTGGTCTAGTATCCTTTCCACTGAGGGAAAAATCCGATTTTTAAGATTTTTTTTTTCTTTAATAGATGGCACTTAATAAAAGATTTGCTGAATAAATGAAATGCAGTTAAATTGTTTTTAAGTTTACACTATAAATCAGTGTTTCTGAAAGTGACCATCCCTGGATACTCTTTAGAATGCATGTTACCTGCACCCCGCCAAAGATTCTGACATGGTGGGGGAGCAATCTTTAATAAATTCCCCAAGTGATTCTAATGCAGCTGGTGTGTGTACTAGATTTTGAGAAGCACTTTGAGAAGACACTACATTACACTGATAAAAGACCATAATACATGGTAGGTATATTTTTCTTACTAATTTTAAAGTTTACTAAGCAAAGATACATTTCATCCCAGCTGTTTCATATTATCATATATTCTAAAAAATTGATGTGAGTTAATGAGATTTTTGTATGTATCTTATTACCCAGTTCCTGAAATAAGTGTGCCCTGACTTTTAGTGTTAAATGCAAAAGTTATTGCATAAGACTGCTAAGAGTTTTCTTTGCCACATAGGTTTTTCTATTCATGTTTCCCAGGATATTAAATTTATAGGAAGTCCAAGATGAGAAACCGATTTTGAAAGGTTAGATGAACAATTATTGTCTTGTGGTTCTTGAAATGCTTGGTTAGCAGAGTACCTCGACATGGTGTTCTTTGTATGAAACACTCTGAGATATATTTTTCTATTGAAAATAATTAAACATAAAATAACAATATAGAATGTTATGCTAAATCATGACATGTTATACCAGATTTTAAGTATAAATAAATGTTATCAGGGACCAGACAGATATTCTTAGAGAAATTTTAATGCATAAATTTTGCTTTAAAATTGGTCTGGGAATATTATTTTTTGTGCAGATTAGGAAAAGAAATACTCTTGTTTGATTTTAGTGACAGTATATCCCCAGATTTTTGTGAGAACATACTGAGCAACAGCTTTTTGGTTTTGCATTAGAATCATATTTCCTTAGCTCACATGATTTGGACACAAGATGGCAGTATATGAACACCTAGTTTTAGTGGAACACCAACTCAGTACGCTCTTGTTTGTATTTGTTTTATTGAGAGGAGTAGTTAGTGACCTTCTAGCCCTGGTGGCAGAGTGGTTGAGAGCTCGGCTGCTAACCAAAAGGTTGGCAGTTTGAATCAACCAGCTGCTCCTTGGAAACCCTATGGGACAGTTCTACTCGGTCCTGTAGGGTTGCTATGAGTCAGAGTCAACTTGATGGCAGCAGGTTTTAGCTTTTGCCTATTTCTCTATATTATTCATTAATTAATAATTTTCCATAAACAACATTGAGATACATTTATTTCTTGTGTATATGCAATATCTGTTATCCTGGGAGGAGAAAGTGAGGGAGGGCTTTGGTACATACAGAACAGGTAATTTCTCCTCCAGGTCAGTAACCAGTTTCCATTGAGTCGACTCTGACTCACGTTGACGTATGTGTATCAGAGTAGAACTGTGCTCCACAGGATTTTTAGTGATTAATTTTTCAGGAGTAGATTGCCAGGCCTTTCTTCTAAGGTGCCTCTGGATAGACTTGAATCTCCAACCTTTACACTACGCAGGGACATAAATAGCTTTGAATTGCTTTTCTTTGCCGTTGAGTTGACTCATGGCAAACCCATGTGAGCAGAGTAGAACTACTTCATAGGGTTTCCAAGGCTGTGACCCTTTTCTGTAAGCAGATCACCAGGCCTTACTTTCAAGGAGCCTCTGGGTGGGTTTGAACCATCAATCTTTAATAATAGTCCAGCACTTAACCATTTGTAACACCCAGGGACTAAATAGCTTTGTTGTTAGGTGCCGCTGAAATCGGTTCCAACTCATAGAGACTCTGTTACAACAGAATGAAGCACCACCCAGTCCTGCGTTATCCTCACAATCGTTGTTATGCTTGAGCCCTTTAGCCACTTAATATTTCATATCGACAAAATTTTAAATCTGTGGTTGGAATTAAATATTTAATCTGTACAAATATATCAGCACAAGTATATTTTTATTCATGTTATTTTTTAAAAAACGTATCATTGTATCATATATATAATTTTCTGCTGATAAATGCAAATGATAAAATATAAAGCAGGTTGAAAAACTGCTAGAATATATATATAAATATTTAAGATTGGATTTTATAGTTATATGTAAAATGAATTTAATAATGATAGTTATTTAATACTTCTAAGAAAAATTCAGAAATGAATTATTAAATTAGTATCGTTTTTAATTTTTAAGGGATAGTAGGATAAGGAAACAAAATGTGAAAGGAGTTTGTTGTTTTTAGGGGCTGTGGAGTCGATTCCAACTCATAGCGACCCTATGTACAATAGAACAAAACACTGCCTGCCCTGCGCCATCCTAACAGTTGTTACGCTTGAACCCATTGTTGCAGCCACTGTGTCAGTCCATCTCATTGAGGGTCTTCCTCTTTTTTCGCTGACCCTCTATTTTATCAGGCATGATGTCCTTCTCTGGGGAGTGTCCCTCCTTGATAATGTCTAAAGTATGTGAGACAAAGTCTCACCATCGTCACTTCTAAGGAACATTCTGACTGCACCTCTTCCAAGACAGATTTGTTCATTCTTCTGAGAGTCCATGGTATATTCAGCATTCTTCTCCAACACCATAATTCAAATGCATCAATTCTTCTTCGATCTTTCTTGTTCATTTTCCAGCTTTTGCATGCATATGAGGTGATTACAGATACCATGGCTTGGGTGAGGTGCCCCTTAATCCTCAAAGTGACATCTTTTCTTTTTTACCACTTTAAAGAAGTCTTTTGTAGCAGACGTGCCCAGTGCAGTATATTGTTTGATTTCATGACTGCTGCTTCTACGGGTGTTGATTGTGGTTCCCAGTAAAATGAAATCCTTGACAACTTCCATGTCTTCTTCATTTATCATGATGTTGCTTATTGGTCCAGTTGTGAGGATTTTTGTTTTCTTTATATTGAGGTATAATCCATACTAGGAAACCCTGGTAGTGTAATGGTTAAGAATTTGGCTGCTAACGAAAAGGTTGACAGTTCAAATACACTAGGCACTCCTTGGAAACCCTATGGGGCAGTTCTACTCTGTCCTACAGGGTCGCTATGAGTTAGAATCAACTCGACAGCAGTGGGTTTGGTTTTTGGTTTGGTTAAATCCTTACCGAAGGCTGTAGTCTTTGATCTTCATCAGTTAGTGCTTCAAGTCCTTTTCACTTTCAGCAAATAAGGTTGTGTCATCTGCATATCTCAGGTTGTTAATGAGTCTTCCTCCAGTCCTGATGCTGCATTCTTGCTCATATAGTCCAGCTTCTCAGATTATTTGCTCAGCATACAGATTGAATAAGTATGGTGAAAAGATACAACCCTAATGCATAACTTTTCTGATTTTAATCCATGCAGTATCCCCTTGTTCTGTTTGAATGACTGCCTCTTAGTCTATATACAGGTTCTATGTCAAGGATTTCATTTTACTTGGATCCACAATCAACACCCATGGAAGCAGTGGTCAGGAAGTCAGATGACGCATTGCATTGGGCCAATCTGCTGCAAAAGATCTCTTTAAGTGTTAAAAAGCAAAGATGTAACTTTAAGGGCTAAGGTGCACCTGAACCAAGCCGTGGTATTTTCAGTCATATGCATGCAAAAGCTAGACAGTGAACGAGGAAGACCAAAAAAGAATTGACGCATTTGAATTATGGTCTTGGCGAAGAATATTGAATATACCATGGACTGCCAGAAGAACAAACAAATCTGTTTTGGAAGCAGTGCAGCCAGAATGCTCCTTACAAGTAAGGGTGGCGAGACTTCATCTCATGTACTTTGGATGTGTTATCAGGAGGGACCAGCCTCTGGAGAAGGATATCATGCTTGGTAGAGGGTCGACAAAAAAGTGGAAGACTCTCAAAAGATAGATTGACATAGTGGCTGCAACAGTGGGCTCAAGCATAAAAATGATTGTGAAGATGGTACAGGACTGGGCAGTGTTTTGTTCTGTCGTACATAGGGTTGCTATAAGTTGGAACCGACTGGATGGCATCTAGCAACAATAACATGGATACTCTCAGCATTATATGTCTTTGATCATTTAATTATATTGTGTTGTCAAATTTACATCATAAACCAGTAATTACATTCTTGTTTAATTTTACTAAACTTTCTGTTACATATATCTTGAGATCAATAAGGAAAAAAGTGCATACTTGGGATTATGTCTAAAACCAAGTTGTACTTTTATTAAAAACAGAAAAGTTCTTTATTTAGCATTAATCTGTGAGAAATTGCAGACATATCAAGTTACAAATTATGCTTGCAGGCAATTTTATTATTTTGTTATATGACACGTAAAACACATTTGCTCTCAATATATTAATTCCAAGGCACATACTCAATTTTGTCTTACTATTGTATATTATATTATATTACCTAATACATTATAAAAAAAGATCATACGTTTTCTATTTATCCTATATCTTATTGAAAGAAAATTTTTTTCTTCATTGTGTAATACCAAGTGATATAATGGAAGGAACAGTGTATTCTAGTACTCTAAAATCTTGCTTCTCAAAGTGTGGTCCAAGGACAAGCAGAATTGACATCACCTGGGAGTTTGATAGAAATTCGGAATTGCAGGCATTTTACTGAATCAGTCTGTACTTGAACAGGACTCCCTGATTGTTGTCGTGTGCATTGAGAAGCACTACTGTAGAACATGTATCTTTTGACCTCTGATTGAAGTTTTACTGTTTACTAGCTGTGTGACTTTGGTTGAGCTTGATAAAATCTGTGAGGTTTTGCTTTTTCATCTGGAAAAGAATAAAAAAATAATTACTTCATTAAAGCTTATATAATTTTTTATGAGGATCAAATGAAATAATGTGTAAAAACATTTATTAACTATAAATAAGATAACCACAGTAATTAAAACATCCTGTGCTACCAGGGCTCCTAAAATATCCTGGTACTGGTATAATAACAGGCATATACTGTATTTTTATGCAAATAACTATGCCAAAATTAGCATAGCGCACTTACAAAAATACCTCACTGGGGGGAGGGTACTGTTGGCAAACAAACGTAGAAGGCGTGCGTTATTTGTATAAAAATACAGTAGGCCAATGAAGTAGAATTGAAGGTCCAGAAATAAATCCACACATCTATGGTCAACTGATTTTTGGCAGTTGGTGCTAAGTCAGTTAAAAGGGGAAGGAAGTCTCTTTAATAAATTGTACTGGGAAAATTGGATTTCTGCACACAGAAGAATGAATCAGGATCTGTGCCTCATAACATATACAAAAACCAATTAAAAATGGATCAAGGGCCTAAATGTGAAAACTAAAACCATAACATTCTTAGAAGAAAATATTGGGGCATGGCTGCGGGGCCTAGTTTTCAATGATGAATTCTCAAATATGACAACAAAAACGTAAGTAGCAAAAGACAAAATAGATAAATCGGACCTCGTAAAAATTACTTTTTTATCAAGGGGCTTTATCAAAAAAGTGAAAAGACAGCCTACAGATTGGAAGAAAATTTTTGGGAACTGTGTGTGCAATAAAGGTCTAATATCCAAAATATATGAACACCTTCTTCAACTTAACATAGACGAACAACCCAATCCAAAAATGGTCAAAAGGCTTGAACAGACATCTCACCAAAGAAGATATTCAAATGGCCAACAAGTACAGGTAGTCCTCGAATTACAGTGTATTTGAGTTACAGTGAGCACTTACAGCCATCTTTTTAAATTTTTTATTCGTACATCTTATCATTAGTAATAAGTACTACATACAATGCTGCAGCTTGTAATGTGCTGATGGTATCATTCTCAGATGTTCATTTGCGGATGTTCAAAGATCAGATTTATAAAGATATGATAATAAAAGGCAATAATAATGAAAACTAAAAAAAGAGGTATTCAACTTAATGTCAGAACTGACTGACGACAGAGTTGGAGGAATGGAACCTCCTTGTAAGTCAGAGACTTCTGTATATGAAAAATGCTCAACGTCATTAGACGTTGTGTGCTGTCGAGTCGATTCTAAGTAATAGCAACCCTATAGGACAGAGCAGAACTGCCCCATAGTGTTTCCAAGAGGGGCTGGTGGCTGCCAACCGTTGGTTAGCAGCCTGAGCTCTTAACCACTTCGTCACCAGGGCTCCCATTAGACATTAGATGCAAATCAGAACTACAGTGGGATACCACCTCATCCCTTTTAGAATGGCAATGATCAAAAAAATGGAAAACAACAGGTGTTGGAGAGCTTGTGGAGAAGCTGGAACCCTCATCCGTTGCTGGTGGGAATGTAAAATGGTGCAGCCACTGTGGAAAACAGTTTGGCAGTTCCACAAAAAGTTGAACATAGAATTATTGTATGACCTAGCAATCCCAATCCTAGGTATATATCCAGAAGAAGTGAAAGCAGGAATGCAAACAGAAACCATACATCATGTTCATTGCAGCACTTTTTACAATAGCCAAAAGGCGGAAACAACTGAAATATCCATCAACAGATGAATGGATAAACAAAATGTGGTATATACCCACAATGGAATACTACTCAGCCATAAAGAGAAATGAAATCCTGATGCATGCCACTACATGGATAAACCTTGACAACATCATGCTGAATAAGTCACTCACAGAAGGACAAATGTTATTTGAAATAAGCAGTATATAGAAACCAAAGTTGTTAGTAGTGCCAGGGGTGGGAGGGAGGAGGAAAGGGGGAGTTTTTGCTTAGGGGGCATTGAGTTTATGTAAATGGTGGAATGATTTGGAAAAGGATAGTGAGAATGATTGCACAACTTGAAAAATGTAATCAGTCACTGAAATGTACATGTAGAAATTGTTGAGATAGCTTATGTTTTGTTATGTATATATTCACCACAATAAAATAAAATAAAAAATTCTATGGGTAAGGTTATTGACACCAAAGGATACATAATCCTTTAGTACCATTGTTATGTTAAACTCATTTAACCGTAATTCAAATATGCAGAAACTAAAATAGTATTTTACTTATTTTTTTTTTGAATGAGAAATGGGCAAATATCATGTAAATGCATTTTTTTTAATAGTCATGAATGAATATGACTTTATGGAATGAGTAATTATATTTTTAAAAAGTATTACAATTATAATAATACATTTCAACTAAAGAAAGAACTGGAAACCAGACATAATCCTTTCTAAGGGCAAAGCATAGCTATGTAATTGTCCAGGAGTAGTTTGTTGCGATGCTCAAGTTACAAAATATAATACTCTAGGTATCTTATAAACAATACCTTTCAAGTCTTTGAGCTTGAAAATGCCCTCTTAGACACATTTTACATTGATAATAGTATCTAAAACAGACTTCAGATTTTGTAACATACTATCTTTAATTTCTAGGCAAAAGAAAAACAGAATGCAAAGAAAGCTCAGGAAACCAAATGAAGAGGATGCTTTGGGATGTGTATACATTTCTGCTTCTGCACTTACTTTCATGGAAACTATTAAAAACTTTGAGCAACATCCTGATTGGCCCAATGCACGTATGGCAGTAGCGCCAGTCTGTCTTGTCTGTAATGCATGGATTCGTACACTTCTTTCCCACCAGCATCATGTGCATGTAGCGCATATTAAATAAAAGTGATGTTAAGAGTTGCTTGCCCAAATTCTGTTATTTGACATTGTATCTGAGAATTCCTACTGGTTCTCTGGATATATAACTACTGTAATGAACCTAGAAAAAGGCACAAGTGATTATTCTTTACCTGTAATTGTTTTGATTAATCTTTTGATCCTTCAGCCCAGTTAAAGACTGAAAATGTGTAAATGTCAGATATCGCTTAAACCAGATCTCTTGTTTCTTCTCATCATTAATGGAAAAAACACCCTCTATCTTTGATATTTAAATGTTATGAGGATTTTAAAACTGAATTTTGTTTATCTTCTATATCAATTATTTGAAAAAGTGTGATTTTAATGCAGATCATTTGAAAAGGACAAAAGTACAATTTCTAGTGATTTTCATGCTGCCAATAGAAAAGGTAATAAACATCCTGGTTTTATTTTAGCAAACTTTCTTAAAGTGTTTGGGGTTATTTATTTATTTTTTACAGACTTATTTCAGGAAGACGTGACCATTATGCTTCAAAGCAAAATTTCAAATTAAGAACAAATTATAAATCTTAAAGGCTTTTAGTGTTACTCTCAGTTTGGCAACATTTTACAAGCTGTTAAGCTGTATCTTTATTAAAAAGAGTATTTGAGGTTTGACAGTTCAGGCTATCTTCTTTGAAAAAGGAGGAGGGAATCATTTTATCTCAGTTTGAACAAAATTAGCACAGCCCAACAGTTTCTAAGAGCTATGTACAGTTTGCCCACAATGGAGTTTATTACTGCTTTTGGGAGTTGCTTTTTCTGTTTTATAAAAGAATATTGTATTATTGCTTCTAATCTTCTTTTCCAAGTCAAACTTTAAAGAAAACTTTTATAGAACTTGTTTTCATAAAGGAAATTATCCGCTTTTTTTCTTTACCAGGCACATTTCTGAAGTTAATACATGACTTTTTATGGCAGAACTTCAACATATGTAGAGAGAATGTGTACTCATCTTCCAGCTTCAAAACATGAATTTTTAAGGGTTGTTTTTAAGCTTGCTACATTGTAGTGTTATTAAATGACTTAGAACTAATGTGAAAAAACTTGTTGGGAAATTGAGTAGAAAAATTAATGAAATGTTTTCGCTGTTGACATAATTTCAACTGAAGGTAATGAAGAATAGTTTTTCAGCTATTTGGAGAAAATTTGTTTTGCTCTGGATACGATAGTAATTATGGAGTATTTTCAAAGCTATGATACAGTTTTTTAAAATGGTTTCCTAAGGACTATATGAGGTACATCTTGAACCCATTCATTTATTTCAACTTATATGCCCTCTTTTATAGAGGCTTTAATTTTGTAAAGCAATTCAAGGAATATATAACCCTTATGAATAAGTAGTATCCAGTAGTCAAGACAGTGTGGGACTGACGGGCGTAAGGATCGACAAATCAGTGGGCTAGAAGAAAGAGCCCTGATGGAATAGGAGAGCCCAAAAGTAGTTCTACATTTGTACAGTCACTTGATTTTCAACAATGGTGACAAAGCAATCCAAGGAGGAAAGTGTTTTGAACAAATGGAGTGAGAATAACTGAATATGTATATGGGAAAAAAAATGAACCTTGACCCCTTACCTCATACCATGCACAAAAATGAATTTGGGATGGATCGTATACCTTAATGTAGCTAAAGTATAAAGCTTTTTAGAAGAAAATAAAGGAGATTATCTTTGTGGCTTGAGGGTAGCCAAAGGTTTCTTAGGTCATAGAAGAAATAACTATAAAAGATCTAAAGCTCATCAAAATTAAAAACTTAACCTTTGACAAACACTATTATTAAGAGGAAAGAGTATCAAACCTTGACTTTTTAGAAATAGCTTTATTAACCAACTGTGTTAATAAGGGCATGGATTTTTTCTTATCAATCTAATTCTAATAAATCTCGATAGGAATTTCCATAGCTTAAGGAGCTTATCTGCTTTTTCTTTGATTGAAAATGCATTGTGATATAGTAAGAAGACCAGACTCAATGGTCTAAGACTGGAGGTGCCCCAGAAAACATGGCCCTTGGTCTCTCCATCACCCCAGAACTAAAATAGTTTCTGAGGCCAACTCTTCAGACAGGGATTGGACTGGATTGTGGGACATAAAGTGATACTTGTGAAGAGTGTGCCTCTTAGACAAGTAGATACAAGAGACCAAAGGGGCGGCTTCTGTCCAGAGGTGAGAGGGGAAGGCAGAGAGAGTTAGGAGCTGGTTGAATGTTCATGGGGAATCGAGCGAAGGGGAGGAGTGTGCTGTCGCAGAATGGGGTGAGCAGTTGGGGTCTCATAACAATGTAAAAAAAAAAAAGAAAAATTCTGTATGGGAGACTAACTTGAGATGTAAAGTTCATTTAATTACAACAATAAAAAAATAAAACACTCAAAACAACCTCTTGGTTGTGTCTGCCAAGTGAATAAAGAAATATGGGTAGGCCTTGTCTGGGTCCTACATGTTCCAGTTTGAAACTAAGGCATGATGCTTGTTAGTTGCTGTCGAGTCGATTCCAACTCAAAGCTAGTGGATAGAAAATGGAGGAATAAAGAGGAATCCAGAGACACAGAAATATTAGCTATATGGAAAGTTAAAGTGTTCATTTCACTTTTGCCCTTTCTTTCCTAAAGTCTTATTCGATGATTGGTTATATGAAGGTATTTCCATTCTGTTTTATGCCTTTTAAAATAGCTAGTTAATTCTAAGGGATGTGCTTCTGCCATTGTAAACAAAAAAAGCTTGCCAACAGCTGGGGCACTGGCTAGTCTCACCTCATATGTTTAGTTTCCAAGGTAGCTGCCCTTTTACTAGCAGACTGCAGTCAGCTCGACTGTGCTACTAGAAGAGACACTGTATTTGTTTTGTTGTTAAGAACCATGGGGATTTATGCCACTCCCCTGTTTCGGACCATGATACATACTTCTTTGTGTATTGGGGTATTAGGTGCTAATTAATACCGTTAGTTAATTCTCATATTTGCCTATAACGTTCTGAATATATTCAGAAATGATTTTTTTTTTTCCAGTAGGAGGATTTTGTTTCCTTTGGGGGGAAAAAAAATGGCTCTTAAGATTTTCCCCTAAACAAGAAAAACAAATTAGAGAAAACCAATAAGTAAAAATAAAATTTAAATTACCCATAGTCCTACCACCAGGGATGACCAGGATGACCACATTAACATTGTGGTGTATTTAGTGATCCTGTTTTGATTTTTTTCCTGTTTGTATGCACATGTTTTTGCCCTCCGCATCCAAAATGGATTTATGTAGTGTATATTATTTGGTAACTTGATGATACACAATTTCTCATTTTTATGTCAGTGATGACTTGCAGGAGAGAAACTATTTTAAGAGGGCTGGGGATTAATGTTGGGAATTTTGAAACTACTTAGTTCTTTACAAAGTCATTGTAAGATTTGGAAGAGTGGGCTCAAGTTTGGGTCTCCAGGAATGACTCCCAGCAAAACATGCTATGTCTGCAATAGTCCAAGGGTCAGTCTACCACTGGAATTATCAGTGTTTGAAAACGCTGCAGTAGCTATGTTCCAGGAATACGGAAACTTCCATAATACCTGTTGACTACACTGGAATGCAGAAAAATTTAGCCTCCCTGTGGCCAAACATGCCACCCCAAAATAGTTAAAGTAACAGGCAAAGCTTAAATCACGAGCTTTGCTGTAAGGTTGTCTGGGATATTAGTTTTTTGTTTTCCAGTCTCTGCAGTAATGGAAGGCATACTTGGAGAAGGAGGTTGGAATGGATGCTGAGTGCAGTCCCACTCAAGTCACACGTAAGTACAATCCTCAAACAAATTTTCCTTTTTACATAAGTAATAAGTATTATTTTGGAAGAAATGAGCAAATACAGAGAAGAAAAAAATATAAGAATCAAATATAATCGCATTACCCAGATGTAATCACTGTTAGTGTTTTGATGTATATCTTCCCAAAGAATGCATACGTTTACATTCATATATATGCATAGCTATTTTCTTTGTATGCAAATGGATCATATTATTATTTGCTTTTTTCCCCCCACAAACATCTTTTTATATCAGCAAATATACTTGCATCACATATTTTCTTAATGGTTGATTAGTATTCCATTATATGCTCTAGTGTATTTAGCAAGCCCCAGTAAGGAGTAAAGCATAGAAATGAAGTGGACAAACTGGATGGTCTGATTTTTAGGGTAAGATTTCATTATTCTAAAGTAACGTGAATTCTTAGATCAGTCAGGCATGTCCTTTAATTTCTTCTTTTCTTTAACATGTAGTTAACTGGCCTAAATACAATGACAGGGTAAAGATTCATCTTTTCTAATACACATTTTGTGTTTGTGACTTGATTATACCAACTTCTTGAAAACTACTTCAGTAATTTCTTCAATGTATATCTGAGTTCTAGATGCTAGAGATAGAGTGGTGAACCAGATAAAGCCCCTGCTTTCATAGTGAGGCAGACATAAAGTGTATAATGTAATTTTTCAGGTCAGAGTAACACTAAAAAATAAAACTGTGCAAAAGGATGGAAGGAGGTGAGGTTTGATAGGATAATCTGGTAAAGTTCCTTTAAGGAGATGGTATTAAAGCGGAAGCCTAAATGAAGGAAATTTCCTTCTGTAGTACTGAATCAGCCCTTTTATGGAAGGACTGCATACAGGCAGAACCAAACATGGAATAACCCAGAACATTAATTTATAATTATTTGGTAATTACATGGTTTATGAAAGTTTATTTGGGTGTCAGTATGAAAACAGGTTGAATAAAAAGTCATATATAGAAAAGGTGAGGGCCATGGTATGTATGCTTTTTAGGTTCTTCAGATATTTTACATAATATATCTCTCTGACTCTTACCTGTAGCAATGATAATTTTGTATTGACGAAGCCATAAAAACAGTGGGAAAAATCTCATGCAGGTGTGTATTTTAAAACAATTGAATAGCCCCCGATCGTGATTAAAGATGTAAACATTAAAACAATGAAATCACTAAGAAAAGAAAAAGAATATTTTATTATTTGGAGATAGGACAAAGTTTGCTAAGCAAACCAGGAAATTAAGTTTTTGTAACATCTAATAAAGTATTATTCATTTCTAACATACAGAGAACAACAACACACAAAAACTAGGAGAAAAAATAGCGAGTTATATAAACAGGCGATTCACAGAAGAAATTAAAATGGCTAGTTACGTAAAAGATGATCTCACTAACAATCAAGAAAATAATGAAATTAAAATGATAAAAGGGTGCGTTTTTTGCAGTCAGAGTATCAAAACATTTAAATGATTGCAAATATCCATTTGACCAGTGTAGACATAAGTGGGCAGGTTCATGGATCGTTGGTTGAAGTCTAAATTAAGAGTCTTTTTGAAAGGCAGTTTGGCCATTCTCAAAATCTAGGTTGTGCACCTCTTTCATCATAGCAATTCCACTCCCAGGAACCCTATTACAGATGTATTCACAACAACTATGCAGATTTTATATGTACATGTATGTATGTATATTTGGAGAAGTTATCTTCATCCTAGTTCTCAAAATATTTCTACAAATAATTTTTCAAGTACAATGAGATAACGGGGCACACAAACACACGCACAGAAAGATAACTTGATAACATATAAGAAATTTCATCATAGCATTTTTGTAATAGTAAATAATTGGGGACATCCGAACAGCATAGCAATAGGGAATGGGTAAATAAGTTTTGGTATGTTGGAATCCTACGCAATCACTGAAAAGAATGAGATGGAATTTCTATATATTAACATGGAAGGATGTCTGTGATGTAATTTTAGGGGTAATGAAAGTTGCATTACAGTAGCGTATGGTTGCATTTTCTGAAGAAAAACCTTATGTGTATATATAATAATAGAAAAATATTTGAAAATATTACATCAAATTCTTAACAGTGTTTATCCCTGGGACTTAGGAATGGAAGGTTGAAGTGGGGGACTTTCCCTTTCCAATTTATATGTTTCTGAAATAATTGAATTTTTCTCCTATGGGAATAAATTACTTTTGTATCTTTAAAAAATGAGTAAAACCATATCAATAAATTAACCAGTTATTTTTATAACAAAATTATTGACATGATGTCTTTTGATAAGATACTCCTTAAGTGCACTTAATATATGACCAAACATAAGCAAATTCAGCTTAAAAATACATAAATATTTGAGTAGTATCTTTATTGTGCAATCTTAGGCATACCTGTAATGACTTTCTAGCCATAATAATGTCTACTGATTGTGGAGTGCTCTTCCTTATGATGGCCATTTTCCTAACATTTTAAGTAGATTATTTCATTATATCCTCACAACAGTCCTATGCAATAAATGTTATCTGCATTTTACAGATATTACCTACTTGCCTTTCTTCCTCCTAGTTATTTTTCCCTTTGAATCAGTCTATAACCTGGCTACTCCAAGCCAGACTAGGGGCATCAGGAGCTTGTTAGAAATGCAGAATCTCAAGTCCTGTCTGAGACTGATGGAATCAGAATTTGCATTTTAACAAGATGCCTAGCTGAATCATAAGCACATTCAAAATTTTTTTGTTTTTTCTTTAAATTTTATTTATTTTGTTGTTGAGAATATACACAGCAAATCATACACCAATTCAACAGTTTCTACATGTACCATTTGCACATTCAAATTTGAGAAGCACACTTCATTTGTTACTTTTATACTTAAGGAAATAAGTATCTTCATATTTAGTGGGCATTGAGCTTTTAGTTACTTTCTTCATTTAAAAATATTGGTTTTAGGATTTTTACAGTCTCAACCGCAAAACACAAAAGTGAAATCAGAAAAATTGATCAGGCATAAAATGCAAAACCATTTACAATGTTCCAGGCACTGTTCCAAGTACTTTTGCATATAAACTCATTTAATCCTCACAAGATACGAAGTAGATCGAGTTGTTAGCCCCATTTTTCAAATGAGGACACTAAATCACTGAGATAGTAAGTAACTTGCCCATGTGCTCATGGCTAGTAGGTAGTAGACCTAGGACTCAAATTAAGGTAACTGGCCCCTGAACCC